AATTTAATCTAGATATTGAAATTTACAGTTTGGAATAATTTAAGTCCATTGCTTTTAGGTCCACTAAATTAGAGGACAGCTGGAGGAAATCGCCAACACATTTACTGACTAACACATGAATAGAGAGTCTTAAAATAGAAAAATCATTTTTTTCCCACAGATGTCTGTCACAAGTTATGTAACTGTACTGTGATTGCAGAGTTATATAATAAAGTACCTTGACATTTTTTTCAAAAGCCTTTTTATTTGGTAAATGATAGCTGTTGGTTATCGTAGATGTAATGTCTACTTTTTTCAGACAAACCTCTTATATATTCTGCCTGTGCGTTGTGGTTTCTGTTGTAATAATTTAGATAATAGCACAGTGGAATAAAGGAATAAATGAATTCCTTTGTAGCAACGTTGTGTATTCCACTGTGATCAGATCACATGGGCATTAATAAAGAACACTGCTTTGTGGCACACAAAGATCCAAATGCACAGATGTCAGAGATGCATCCACAATGCACTCTTGAATAAATTGATTGAGCCTTTGTTATGGTTTACTATTTATAAACGCGCCTATAATTACACAATTGAATCATTTCATGAGTCAAAAGTTCGCTCAATTAGTGACTTTCAGGTGGGCAATAGTTGGTTCTTTAGAGGAGAAAAAAGCTGCTGGCATATGAAGCTATGTGCTTGACAGCTTTGGTACGCAATTAGTTTTTCGTCTGTCAAATTATAGATGTTCAAGAAATACATTAAGGGCTGTAGATTCTTGCTAGGAATATAGCCTTGTCTCTCATTTCCATCTTTTAATAAACATTTTGTGCTTGTTACCATATCAAGACTTTACAGAACATCCTTACTTTACAGCAATTAATTGATTAAGAAGATGGTTAAAGTAAATTTAAAGAATTGTCACAGTTGTACAGCTAAAAAATGAGGGGTCACCCAAAGAGAATCAGTCCTTTTCTTCACATTTGTAACACTTTTTATAAAAACTTCAAATTGCCATCTTTCTCAAAGTATTATGTGGTAGTCTGCTTATTAAATGTAAATATTTTATATATTTAACCAGTCAAAATAATGACTTCACATTTTTTGTGCTTTCAAATAGAGTGATTCTATCTGAGTCTAAAAAGAGGATCATTACAAGCATCGGATTTGTTTCAAACCTTTTTCTCAAGTTCATTCACGCTAGCATTTAGAAACAGCTGGGTTTGGCATTAAGATTCGCATCAAGCTTGGCACAAATTTTTAAATTGGCTTTAATGGAGTTAAAAACAAAATTAAGAAACAGGAATGACTTTTTCATCAGGTAAACTAAGAAGATTACTAGTGTGAATTACAAGCTGCTTTATCAAAGTATTGAGCTCTGGTCTGATTAAAATATCTAGCTCTCTGCTCATAGAAGCAAGCTAAACTCTAAAACCTTTAAAGTGAACAATGTTTTCATGTGCATCCATGGCCTCTTTACTAGAGTTACACCTTGAAAGTTTTTCAATTACTTAGGGGAAAATCGAGAATTTCTTCCTCAGCTAAAAAAAAAGTAAATTGCGATTGTAAAATGTTCCCCGAAAACAGATTTTCTGGGCACTTCCCAGTATAAAGCTGCATATCAGCATTGGACTTAATGTTCAATGACTAGACTGTGGCAGAGTTGTAATGTTTTGAGTAACTGCTTGGTCAAAGCAGATCATTTAAGCAAGTTTCTCCTTGTGGTTTCTCCAGTGGTCATCTGTCCAAAGGAAGTTATTAATTTTAAGGTGTAGGCAACTCATCTGCCTGTATGTACAGATGTGAAAAACATCTTTATTCTGTAATGCCTTATCCTGTCACAGAACATTAAACCCAGTAGAGTGTCCCACAAAACGGTATGTTTTAGTAGCAGTAATACTCCACAACATTAAGCCATCAGAGGTTTATTTAAATAGTATTTTATCATTTCAAAAACGGTTTAAGGTTTAATATGTGTTTGCAAAAAATATATATAGAATAACTGGGACTGAAAACTAAAGTTGTTTTCTCACTGTGGTCCTTGGCTTACTAGAATGTTTGTTTTAAGCAGGAAAAATAGAATATTAAAGCTGTCTCCTAGGTGTGACTGGTTCCTCCTCAAATCAATGTGTATTCCAACCTTTTTGCAATTCCAGACCTGGACAGTGCTATATATTGTCGATGGAACTATACTGACAGTAAAAGAAATCCAAAGTCATTAAATGAGTTTATATCTCCCTCTGGTGTAAAAAGAGTTTATTACACCCTTTGAGTTTGGTTTTTGTTCGGAGTGCTAAATCATTTTATTTTTAGTTTTAAATTTGCACACAAACTAATAGACATATCCTTTATAGCCTAAGACAACTCAATGTATTTATTAGGGGTTCACCATCTTTAAAATTATTGGTTTAAGTTAAATGGTATTCTAAGGATTGGGTTTGGGAAAATTTCCCTAGAGAATAAGTATAACTTCATAAGTGTGGTTGTCTGGCAATTCAGGGCTAGTATACTAAATTAAATTTAGAATATAATTGGTATGTAAATTAGGCATAATATCAGTGTATGCTCAGAGACTGTTGCCAAAGAGTTAGATTAATATTGTTGTTCTGAAAATATATTCATAAAACAGAAACAGGAATTGACCTGGGTGCTGGTGTGACAATGTGTTTTTAAATGTGCTCAGATATTTTTTTAAAAAAAATTTCTTTTATTAAGCATGTATGTTGCTATGAATTTCACGTCTCAATTCTTAACAAGTTAATGATTCTAGGGAATACTAAAAAAGGGCACTGTATCTCCCTCAGTAAAGAATTGTTTGAGTCTTTCCATATCACAGTTTAATCCTGGTTAGGTACTACTACTGTTAAAGCAACATTTCGGATACTGTGGTAAAGTTATCTGCGAACAAAAATAGATACAGAAACTGAGATACTTTTTAATTTCTTTGTTAAAGCCATACAAATTCTAATTTCCATTCAATGAGATGTAGCTCTATATTACATTTTACTAATTTTGGTATGGAAAAGGGTTTCTCAAAAGTGAATGTGTACAAGTGAATGAGTGCTTTTTAACATGTAATTCTTTTTCAGTTTTTGTTAAGATTTTGTAAGCTCTAAATCTTTTGAAATGTGTAATGTTAAATCTGATTACATTGCTCTTTTACAAAAGGTTTATAGCTCCAATTGTTTGTGCTAATAATACATTGTCTATACTGGATTTAAACCAAATCCTATAATGTTTTAAGTTTGTTTTGTTTTCTGTCTTCAAGAATTTGAAGAACAGGGCATTGAATCTGTCATTTGAAATCATAGTAATTGTTCAGTATTAGACCCTCAGCACATAAGCGGTCTTATAAGATTTTCCCTTTTGGCGATATTAAAAGTGTGCAAATACCTAATACTTGGGGGGGGGGGGGGGGTTGTTGGTGTAACTTTGTCACTAACTGCTTCAGGCTTTATTATTCCACTACATCAAAAACATAAAAAAAGATAATAGTATAAATGGTTTATTCTTGACTTCTAGGTGTTGACATTGAAGCAGCTCGGAAGGAGGAGGAGAGGATTATGCTACGTGATGCACGGCAGTGGTTAAATAGCGGCCAGATCAATGATGTCCGGCATGCCAAATCTGGGGGTACAGCACTGCATGTTGCTGCTGCTAAAGGTTATACCGAGGTTTTAAAGTAAGTTCAGCCTTACTGTTTGAATTCATTTCACATTGCCATTTAATTCTCTCTCCCCCCCTGACCATCTCCGTTCTTACATTTGATTGTAACCATTATATCCCAGTCTTTATAGGCAAGGAAGCGTACCTTATGAAAAGCATATATTGAGTCATTGTGAGTGACTGTGCAAAGCAACTTGCTTTTACAAGCTGCACATTTTGTTTGTGCTGCTGACTGCTGTAAAGCCACATGAGACACAGCAGGCTGTCAGCAAAAGAGAAACTGGCCTCCTTTTCCATCTGTTACTGGGTATAAAGCCAAGATATTGTAATTCACCATCTCTATATTTAAGAGCTGAATGTGGTGTAATATGTTTATGAATGCAATTGAACATTATAGTCCTCATTATGTTATCTGCCAGTAGAAACAAGATCCTTATTACAGTGTTTATCTTCTGTTTTGTCACCGATTCATTTTCATGCCTTTATTTTCAAGCTCTGTGATAGTGGGAATGTTTGCACACAGTATTGTATAAGATAGGTTCAATAGCCAGCTCAAGCCCGGATCATTTTCCTTACAGCCATGATTACTGACTTCTAATAATGGACAACAAGCTGTTCTGACAGGTTAAACAAATATTAACATTAGATTACAAGGAAGTCAATGAACACTTTTTTTTTCTTTTAAATGTCAGATGCTAACATAAAATATTCTCTCTATTTCAGGCTTTTAATCCAGGCAGGGTATGATGTAAATATTAAAGACTATGATGGCTGGACTCCACTCCATGCTGCTGCCCACTGGGGTAAAGAGGAAGCCTGTCGTGTTCTAGTAGAACATTTTTGTGATATGGACATCGTCAACAAAGTGGTATGCATTTTAGCTTTTTATTTTTAATGTTGGTCTTCAGAATACTGCATTTAACTGTGCTTAAGTGTAAAGAAATATTTTCATTGTGAAATGAAAGCTATTTTTGTGAAAAACATTTTTGTGAGAATTTGTGTGTCAGTTCTACTGCTTTGCACTCTCAATTCTTGAAGATTAGGCTGTAATTTCGTCAGGTGTACATCTTTAACACAAGACATTATTCACAGCAATGTTCTAATATTTCAGGGTCAAACAGCCTTTGATGTAGCAGATGAAGATGTCCTTGGTTATTTAGAAGAATTACAAAAGAAGCAAAATATGGTAAGTTATCTGTGACGAGCCTTTACATCCTGTGTTTGGATAAGCTACATTTACTGTTACCAAGAATGGAATTTGATAGCATGAACTTTTTCAAAGTATTTGTAAACATATGACTGGATATTGCACTAAAATGTAAGTTTTGGCTTGCTTATGAGCTTCTGGCAAAATGCATGTCATGCCCTTGCTTGAACAGGGGTTTATCCTTACCTATAAATTGGCTGCTGATTTGCCTCCATATTTACGTTTTGACAGCTTTTGAGTGAGAAGCGAGATAAGAAGTCCCCATTGATTGAGACGACAACAACAATGGACAACAACCGGCCAATTAAACCACTAAAGAAGTAAGTAGCAGTTATAGGTACTAGGTTAGTATTACATTGCTGAGGAGGAAGCAATTTTTGTTTCTAAGGTAAAGTTAAGATTTTAAACTTTCCTGCATATTTTATATTCTGCTATGTTGCCATTTAATACAGTACAAGTATGTATTTATCAACTTGTCTATCTAAGCAGAGAACATTTGTTCATCTTTCACTGTAAATTACCTTAATATTACTCTTAAATGTATAATACTTTATTTTAATTGTATGTATGTTGTCGAACAAGGTTTTCCCAGTTCTTTTGTTGCTTTTCCTCAGAGTAAACATTTTCTTTTTTTAAACATTTTTTTGTAGGTGTTGATTCTATGGCCCATGTAACCTTTAAATTGATTAGTGATTCTGAACCCAAATGCCAGTCTGTGTTTTTATAACAAAATTAAGTCTTGAACAAGCTGAACAAAATGTTTCAATATGTAAACTCTGTTTACATATAGACCTTCATCTGTAAATGGCTTCCTGCATTACCCAGTTAAAATTGATCTTCACTCCTATTTCAGCACCCTGTATAAACCTCTGTACCTGGAACTTCAGTTGCATGCTCATGCTCATGGATGTCATTGAAAAGATGGCTCTTAATTTACGGGGATCAGAATATTTCAAGTGATATAAAAAAAATGAGATTTTTCAGGGTTTATTTCAACACCAAATCCTTTCTTTATTTGTGTATTGGAATTTCCTGAGCCAGAATTAGTGTCTCTGAAAGTGTTCCACAACAGAAGCTTCCATTTTTAGCCATGTTAGATGACAGAGGTACAGTAGAGGAGAGTTCATTAACGCTGATGTTAGGATGCTTTTATTTTGTGACTGTTGGGGAATGGCTCAAACTATCAACCAATTCCTGTGCCCCAGCAAAGAGACTCTCCTGAACGAGCAGGAGACGTGTGTGCCCCGCATTGAGTCCTTAGAACAGGAGAAGGTAGATGAAGAGGAGGAAGGAAAGAAGGATGAGTCCAGTTGCTCCAGTGAGGAGGAAGAGGAGGAAGATTCAGAGTCTGAAACGGAAGCAGGTAGCACCTTGTTTTCACGTCTGTCAAGTAGTTCTAGTTGGATGCAGCAAATCTGAGTTAGTACGTGATATAGCTCTCACACTCCTGTGTACATCCTATGTAGCAGGCAGTAATATTGCTTTAATGTACAGGCTGATCATTTACTTGTAAATTTATACTAAATCTAAAGCTTTTAAAAAATGGTTGGGGTTATGGTAATGGTATACCAGCTAATGTATTGTGATATATGTAGTGTAGTACCTGCACCGAAATAAAAAGGATAATGGGAAAAATAATTGTCCAGCTTTAAGCTGATGGTCCTTAAGGATACTTAAGATCTCTGGTGAAATTAATCAAATTGTCTATTTTATTAACTTCTCCCATTGCAGACAAGAGCAAAACCTCTGCACCTGTAAATAACACAAACAGTACCGTAACACAGCCAACCAGCGTGACGGTATCGTCCCCAACAATACCTACAAACCAGGTGACTCCTTCTTCTCCTATCAAGAAGGTATGGCAAAGTTTAGATCCTTGTTTTATGCATTTGTTCCCCTTGTTAAAATTAAATTGACATCTCTTCATGTCATTGTTTCTTAATTTCAGCAATGGCAGTTCAGTGAGTGGCTAAAACTCTCTAAGCTCCTGCAATATTTCTTTTCCATGATACTCTTGGGTTCTTCCACTGTGTTGTAATCTATTTCATAAGATAGCTGCAAAATATTTATGTAGTGTAGCGTTTATTTAGCTAAAATGCACAATAACTTTTGCACAGTTAAAGCAAATTGCTTCATGTGTAAAGATATTGAACTTCAAACTCTTAATTTACATTAAGGAAATATATTAGAATAGTACTTTTTCCACATATTTTCTAGTGTTTTAAGTGGCACAAATGTTGAAATCTCATTCAAAAGACAATCTCATGCAATAGAAACTAAAGGAGGATGTAAGATTGTGCATGAGAAATGTCATTAGTAGAGGTTAATTCCACACTGAAACATACAAAGAAATAGGAAAAAAATGTACATTTTGACTGTGGAGCTTTCTTTGGGAGTGGGAGGGTTGAGGGATACTTTGTCAGGGAAGTGGTGAGATAGACAATAAAATGAGAATTAGACACCTTCCCCTACCCATTCTCACATTTTATTTTGTCCTTACCCCACACCTTAGCCTTATATTCCTGCTTTTGTTCCTTTGATAATTGTAGGCTCTCCAGCTGTTTGTTTTTTTTTACTTTTGAGTATGGAATTAACCACTACTTGTTAATCTTCTATGACATTGCCGATGCAAATGAAATACAGAAATGACATGGCCAGTTTTCAACAGAAGTGCCAGCTTTTATTTAAAGTTTTCAACCCCATCTACATTTTAATGCATTTGGAACAATACAGAAGTTGCTCAGGCTGAGGCAATACGTAGTTCATGCATTAGATGTAAATGTGAATATTGTAAATTAGTAAGTCCAAGGTGAACATTTAGTCGACATGTTAATTATTGTGCTTAGACAGAACAGTTTTACATAATGCATAATGAGTGCTGAAAATTCCACTCAAAGTGCAGAAATTTAATATTAAATGAATGAGGAAACATCATTCCTCATTACATCACATTTCCATATCTATTTATAATAATATATGCTTTCTGTAAGTCAAGTGATACTTGTACATGTAAAAGTTTGTGAGGTGCTGCTTTTCAGGTGAAACCTTAAATCTGAGGTTGTGATCACAGTTTATGGACATCTTTGAATAAGGGTGTTAAACATTATTTCTAACCGAACAGTATTTAGTTCCATCTTTATACTTTGTGTTGTGCCAACACTCCTTGAAAAGGGGAACTTTGTCTTAATAGTACATTAGTTACATAAACAGTGTTGAGAATGATTTTGTTTTTCTGCTGATTAGTAAGCATTTGAGCTGGCAAAATAATTCATCCTCACTTTGATGTTTATCATTTGAAAACATCTTTAATACATTAGCCTGTGCTGCTTGATTTTTGTTGGTTTTACAGTGTTAGTCCAATTTAGTGAAATTTGCCAAGTACTTTATTAAAAACTTGGATTACTTTGGATTTTCTATTTTCCAAGTTAGAATTCAAGGCACTAAAAATGACAAAACTTCATTTGAGGTTTAATCCTTATGCCCTCAGCATTTTTTAGACATTTTCCTTATTCAGATTATCATCAGCTAAGTAAATAAGGATTAAGACAACATACAACTGTAAATTTCTTACGTAATTTTGTCAGTAGCAGTGACAATTTATGCAAAACCTAGTAACAAATATAAAGACATCTAGAATATGCAGAAAAATGAACTCACTGATATCTGTTTATTGTTGGAGGGATGAGATTTAAAAAGCTGCTATTTCCATTGTTCTTACACTGCTGCTCCCTACAGGACAAGAATGGGACATACATTTGTAGCTAAGATGCAGTATTAGTAACATCTTTGCAATCAGCCATGACTGTTGCATGATTCAGCAAAAGCAGACCCACTGTAAAGTTTTCGGCCAATTATTTAAGGAACAGAATGTAGAATTGTTTTGAAAGTCCTCATCAGCTGTGGGTAACTGACACTACTTCAGTACTCTTTTCCCTGATCTGCGTTCTCTATATGCTGTTGCTGCTTTTATGACTATCTTCTCATTACACATCTTGTCTTGGTTGGATTTAGTTTGATTTTATTGCTCCTCTCTTGCCTGTGGCGGAGCCATGCGATCCTGCATTATGGCGTCAGGGCTTGCGCAAAACTGGCATTTCTCTTGTGCCCAAAAAAGCTATGGTGAGGCATTGGTGTGCACTAGATTTTTACCGATTTTGCAGTTAACAAGAAAAACTTAACCGGCAATAGCATGTTGTCACTTTCACCCCTGTCTGCATGTTCGTTTTTTTCCAGATTTCAAAACCTGACATAAACTGAACGCCTGTTAGTGCTTGTTAGTGTTTGGCCTTTGAACATTGTTTTTCATTTTCCTTTTTTTTCTCTCAACAAACTGTTTACTAAATACAAGGCGAAAGTATCAATTGAAAAAGCAGCTTTTTGTCCAGTAGGTCAAAGAAAGAAATAGTCTACATCAGTAAGATTTGTACTTGTAAATGTCAATGGTGGTGGTTGGATATTGAAAAGCTTTTCTCTCTCTAAATCCTAGAGTGCTATGGAGTATGTTGGGGCACATAAAAATAATTTGCTTTTAAGTGATGTAAAACATATTTGTGTTAAAAAGCAACTGAGAATAATTATAATTGGCTGTTGATGTATTTGATTGAAAACCCTTCTTTAGAGCTTTTGCTGGTTTTCAGTCCTATTCCTTTTGACATTTTAACAACAAAAATCAATGTTAAAAAGGTTGCTTTGATTTAACATTCCCATTCCTTCCCCTGGCATGGCTCTTGACCTGGAGACTACCCTCACCTTTTTACCCCCCAGTGTGAAAACACCCGAAGAAAAGTTGACACTTCCTGATGTCAAAGGAAGTATTGTTGTGTTATCTAAATACGTAGCTCATTTTATTTATTAGGTTAACCTCATAAAAGTTTTTGCATCGGAACTAAAATTCATTGGGTAACTTGCTCTGGTTTTAAAACGGCTACTCTTGCAGTGTGAGAAAAAAGGCTTAACATTAATTTCTGCCTCCCAGTTTGCTCCACCACCTGGTAAAGTCTCTCCCAAGGAAGAGGAACGGAAGGATGAGTCGCCCTCCTCCTGGAGACTGGGTCTGCGGAAGACTGGCAGCTATGGAGCTCTGGCAGAGATCACTGCTGCTAAGGAGCCACAGAAAGAGAAGGACACCACTGGGGTCATGCGCTCTGCCTCAAGTCCAAGGCTGTCTTCAACTTTGGACAACAAAGACAAAGAAAAGGTCAGATGCCACAGAGCTGACTATTTGTTTTCTCATGCTTTATTTTAAGTATTGATCCTCCCGTCTAATCTCAGTAAGCTGTTTTTCTCCTGGTAAGACACATGACAGTCCAGAGCCCATTCATAGGGAATAGGGTATGAGGGCAATCAGATGCTCCCTAGAGCACAGAAAGTGCTCCACTTAGAAATCTTAATGTACTTTCACTTCCTTTCATTCCAAGTACAGTTGCGATTATCCGACCTAAACGGGACTGATAGTGTCGGATAATTGAAAATGTTGGATAATGAGGAAACTGAGTAGACAAATCATAGATTAATGGAAGTGGAGTATAAGTATGAAATCTGGTTTATTAATCTACTGTAATACTAAAATAACATAGTACAGAACTATTGTTGGGTATTTTAAAAAATGAGTGATTGCAATCGGTTTCCCAGATGTGCTTCTCTTCCGTGCAGCAAGGTCTCGCCAGCGTCTTGGTAACATGACAGCAGTTGCCTCCTCTTGTTGTTCAACGTAAGCTAGTGCTGCTTTGAGAGCCTTGACACCTTCGCTGTGCCCGATTTCCTTCAGATTTGTCTAGTACCAGTGCAGACCCAGCATCGCCATCTTCATCTTTATTGTCATAAAATTATATTAAGGGAAAATACAGTAAGAAAAATAGTCCCAAGCACTAAATCAGCAAGCAAAGCTATGTCAATGGCAGTACATAACACACGGAAAAACAGAGCAAAATCGGATTGGGCAAAATTATGCACGTGCACGCATAGTGTACAGTATATACTGTACACTATGGTGATTGGCTATGACGGATACGTAAAGGTCAGATCTTCGCAACCACTGTACCAAAAAAGTAACATATCAAAGGGGAACTGCACTTACCATTTCTCAGACCAGTAATTAAGTCTTGGTAACTAAGTTAATTGATGTTATTGCAAAATTAAAAAAAGTCAGATTTAAGCACAAAATAGTGAACTTTGTGAAGTACTGGATAGATGCCACGGTGGCAAAAATTGCTGGTCTCTCCACGGGCGTGAACAAGAGTTCATGCAAATTGTGATGTGCAGTGGCCCTATCTGCTCACTAGTTGCTGTACTGACTAATGTGATGTACAAGCAAATAAGAACAGGTTGGACAACGGTCATTTCACCACAGAAATGTTCCAGCGTGATCTGTATGCAGTTAACAAGTATGTTGTATTTGTCTGCTTAACCATCTCAAAGTTGAGAGCAATATGTCTATTAGATTAAAAGAGCTGTATTCACAAGCCATCTTGTTTACAGTGTAATAAGACTGCTTCAGCATTTTGTTGCCTCGTTCTGAATGGCAGAATAAGGTTCTGGGATAGTTTGTCTATTTTGTTACATAAATTGGTGATTTTGAATATTACTGTATACATTTTACTTGTATTGTGGTTTGCAATGCACTCAGCAATGCCAGTTCTTTCTGATCCCAAAATATAAAATTGGCGTTCCAGTTCCTCTTTAAAGTCTTTGACTTATACTTGTATTTTATAAGTGAAATGACATGTCTATATTTGCAGTTTCTACAAGAACATGTAGAAGCCACGTGCATCTCATCAGGGTTGTCGGCAATGATGTAAGAATTTCAGGTATGGCTTGTTTTAGGTTTGCAACAATTTATTTTTTTTTCTTACAGGAAAAAGACAAAGGAGCCCGACTTGCGTATGTTGCACCAACAATACCGTCTAGAAGACTTGCCAGTACATCAGACATTGATGAAAAGGAAAACAGGTGAAAAACAGTTTATATTAGTGTTTAAAAATGTGTGATTTTGTGAGATGCCACACATTGAGCTCAAATGCATCTTGCATGTTTTAGCTTAAGCAGCAGTTCACTTGCTTCTGTCTTTTTGTGGTATCTTTAAGATATTCTTTCAAAAATAAGTTTTCAAATTTAATCATATAAATCAAATTCCTAAAGAATAACTATTTGTCCTTTCGGAACATTGTGGAAATGTTTAATTGTAAAAGGTAATGAAGTGTATCCAACTATGAAAGAAATTTAAAGTCCTCTGCTTACAAGCAGAATGCATTTTCTGTTACTGTGCATCTGTAAGTATAAGATGCCTGTAGGTCCCCATCCCTGATCCTGGGGAGCTCCAATACAGTTATTCTTATTGGTCACTCTAAAACACAAATCACTTGTTTAATCGTGTTAAAGATTAGGGGCATTTGTTTAATCCATTGTTCAGTTACACAAATATTGTTTCAGTGAAGAAAAGACTGTTCTGATCATTTTGCTCCAAATGATCTTTGAATTGCTTAAATGAACACATCCTGTTTAATTGACTAGTTAACTTGTTCCAGGCCTTTGGTTCCTAACCTCTAAAACCTGCTGGACTGAAGCAGTCCGGAACAAGGGTTTGAGTCCCCTGCCCATAGATAAAGGGGTGTAGGGGTGTCGTTTAATCCGTTTTCTTTGAAGTCATTACAAATGTAGAACAGCCCTGCATGCAGCAAGTCCCTTTTATTAAAATCCGTACAAAGACACATGGCTGCATATAATTATGGAAACCAGTTAGACTGCTCGTCGTAGAGGTTAAGCCCAAAAATCCAGGATATTGCCAGTTTGTTTGGGCTATGTTACTCGCTGACTGTGACTAGGATTTGCTCTGCAGCAGTGGGCAGGTAGGGAAGTACTGGCGGGGCTGCAGGGCTTTGTGTTGACAAGTCAGTCCTCTGCGAAACAGCAGCTGCTATGGATTACTGGCACCTGTGCACCTGCAGTGCTGTCGGCAAGAGTAGCATTGGATTCTTACACTACAGTAGCCAGTGTGGGTGAATGCAGGTGGGTGGCTTGAGAGTACACAGATTCGTGGGGAAATATGCCTATCAACTTCATCTACAGTCTGCCCAAAATAGAGCCACTTGTTATATCTTATGTACTTGATAGATTCCTTGGTTTTGCCATACTATGGTACTCTTTGACTAAATTGTAGAATCGGTTACTTCTTCTTAGGATTATCTAAAGGAAGCTTTTTTTTAACTAGAAAAAATAGTTTTGGTAAACCTTCAAAGGTAAAAATTCTAAATTAAATGAGAATGGTTTCGAGTATCATCTCGGATATGAGACTATGGTCATGTTTGCAGCACCTTCGATCCTATTGTAGTGTGTGATTCACAGGGATTCTGCTGCTAGTCTGGTGCGTAGTGGGTCTTATACAAGGAGAAGGTGGGATGATGATCTGAAGAACAATGAAGGAACTACTTCCCAGAACAAAACACCAAGCTATCAGCGAAGGTTTGCTTTTCGTATTTAATAACACAAAGCCATACATGTGAATATGCAAATTGTAAAAATCCCTTGTGTATGTATTGTCATACTTATTTTTATTTGCTCTTCAATCGTACACTTTTAATGCTGTCCCATAAGTTCTTATGTTTTTTTTAAATTAGTATTTTAAAGTGCTTCCATCAGAAGTGATCGGGCTGATGGTTACTTGAAATACAGTTGGTGATTCCAAGCTGTGTCCAAGATCACATTAGAAAAGCTGACATCCTGTTTTGCCTGAATTGCCACAAATTTGCAGACAATTGCAAATTTGTCACAAAAGTGCAAGAAGGTAAAAGGAATTTTTCACTGAACATCTATAAAATCAGTATTGCACTTAAACAGAATGTACAAACTGTAATGGGTTTGATAATTTATCAAATGTACTGCACTAAAGTCCCATTATTTTCAGTTTATAATCAGATACTGAGTACAATACACTGCAAAGCTGCTTTTTGGACTTTTTCAAATCAGATGGTACATTATTTTTCTTCAGGACTACATGTTTGGGTCTTCTGATATAGTACTTTTAAGGAACAGATGAAATGCTTCATTAGTACATTAATAGATAATTAATAGATCATTTTGGGCAAGTGTTACTTTGTTCCATTAGATTCTTCTACTTTCTGCCCATATGTATACGATGTCTCGCAACACAAATCAGTTCATCATAAGTTGTATCTTGGAGCAATTTTTGCACATCTTTCAGATTGTTTATTCAGTAATACACAATTTCACCTAAAGGCCAGATCTCTGGATTGAAACCTTCTATCATATAGATTTGTTGGAAGCAAAACTCAAACTTTGGCTAGAGGTACCAGTATCACTTTCCATAAAAGGTACACAGTTACTGTGATGTGTAACTGTCTAAAAAAATTCTGCCAGCAAGATAATTCTTGTAATAAGTGTCTTTTATTCTAATTAGCTATGATTTTTTTAACAATGTTGCAAAATTGTGGATTGCATCAAATTCGCGCTTTTAGAAAGTGACATCAACTGTATTGTTCACCTGCTTTGAAAGGCAAATTGAGTTTTAAAGAATGTGCATGGTACAGCTAGATATGCCATCACTGAAGGCATGATTTAAACATGAGCCCGTATATGAATGTTTTAAGGCTGTATAAATATGAATAAGGAGCTGCTTGTTTTTTCCGTCTTATTTGCTGTTATTTTTTGCATGGATGTTAGGATTTGTACTTAATTTCTGTTAGTGCCAATAACCTTTTAACTGTTTACTTGCTGCAGTCACATACCAGTGTGCAAAGATTTTCTCTCTTATGATAGTTACCAGAGCCCCCCACCATAGACGACTTAGTATACTAGCATCTATTGGCAGGTAACAAGAAATTAAGACAAATGTGGCTGTGCTTTATTTTGTTGTAATGTGCTCTTTTGCTTGATGTGCATGCAGTACGTCCTACTCGCTAACAATAGGCAGAAGTAGCAGTGTGCGAGATGTACCAGCTAAGTCTTCATCTGCCATCAGCTTGGATCCTAATAACACTAAACCTTGGCAGTCGCCCTCATCTCAATACCAGTCTTACAGCATTAATAGAAGGTATTGCTTTAGTGCTTGTTTATGCCCGTGCTCATTGCATATGTCAATCTGTCTGTATCTTATGTTTATATTTTCTTTTCATTCTTAGCTAGAATTGATAAATTAAATTGTTAGCATTTTACTTTTATTGCTTATACAACTCTTACTAGGTTGGTTTTTCATACTGTATTAATTTACTTTTGATATTCCAGGATCTTTATACAGTGAGACTTTCGTTTAATTATTAAAATATTCTATCATTTAGTGTTTGGGAAGTTTTGTTTTACTTAATGGCAAAGTAATTTGGCCCCCTTCCTATTAGTTTAATATTAAGTTTTTAGTATTTATATCAAGTGTAAATGTCAGCAACATTTTTAAATTGCTGACAGCATTTTAATGGTTTAGCGTTAATTTCAGTTATTGACTGTACTAGATATTAGATGAAAGTGCAAAGTATTGTCTTGAAGAAACTTTTTTTTTTTACAGTGCATACCTAATAAAGTATCAACTCTTCTTGTTTTATTTAATTTGCAGATATGGGTGGCATTCTCTAGGTTTTTTTTAGTCTAGGAATGCATAAATCTGCAGTAATGGGAAATTGTCATTTTATTTTCCTAAATCACTTCTAGCTCTAAAATGTTTTAATTTTAATACTTTCTAATTTAGAAATAATACCGTGGGTTTTATGACATTACTTTTCTTTAAAGCAGTTGCTTCATTTTACATTTTCCCTTTCTTTCCTCTATATTGCTTCGGCGTTACCAGTGGTTCTTTTGGAAGAAGACAGGATGACTCATTTAGTTCTGTGACATCCACCACCTCATCTGTTACCTCACCTACTGGCTCCCAGAGAGGCCTGCTCTCCAGCACAAGCACTGCGACCAAGACCACCACCACCACAACTCCATCGAGCTTAACAAGCAGGTGCTGTCGAATGGCTGATGTTACTTTTTTTGGTTTAAAAAATGTAGATGTATGCCTTGTGAACTAAAAAAATGCTGCGTATTGAAAGTTGTTTTCACTCTAGTGTGTGGTGCGATTTGTTCGGTGTGCCAGGACTGTTAAATACCAGCTGTCCCCCCCAGCAAAGAACCCCGACAAATTCACTGTTCATTGAATAAATTATTGAAAGTAATCGTGTAGTTATTAAAGCTTTGACATACGTCAGCTTTGTCCTTGACCATATGGCACTGATTTTAATATTTGAAATGTGTGTAATCATTTTGAGTGATTTTATAAATGGATTTGTAAGAAAAAATGGCAATAATTCTTTGGGTTTCATTTTTTTATTCAGTACCTCAAATAGGTTTTGGTCTGATGAAAGTGCGGAAAGGGAGAAAGATTCGGGACCAACAGCAGTGGCAGTTATACCAACTATTGTAAATACTACAGCTACTACTACTACCACAACCACATCCACCACTGGCACCGTACCTTCCACTGATGGCAGGGAGCGGCGCAGGTTTGTGATTGTTTTTTTTATAAGTAAGCAGTTTCAAATTTAGTCAATTTAGTAGGCAGTTTTTTACACTAATACTTGATTTAAGACCCTTTCCATGTCTGCTGTTGGGTAATTCACTATTTTGGAGTAATAGAGCACAGTTATTTTTTTAAAGATTTTCCTTTAAAATAGTGTGTACACAAATTAAACATTTGGGTGATTCATTCAAGTATCTTGAAGGATCTGATGTATGTCGAGAAACTCAACTTTTCTTCAAGGTCAGTAGGTTGAGTCTGAAGTATAAAATTATTTGGTGGTCATTTATCAGTAGTAGCAAGAATTCAGAACAAAAATGTTCTCTACTTGTCATGTCTTCACACTTGACACCTTATTTAGCAGCACTGAACATCAGTTCAACAGCTAAGATAACGCTTCTGGCAGAAAACACTGGTAGATTGAGTCCCAGGTACTGATAAACTATGGAATAAATGATTTATGTAAAAGGTTATAAAACATTGTAAGTATCCCTCACTTGAAATATAAGATGGAGTTTAACTTTGGCAGTAAGGATTTTGTGTGTAAACTGCATTATTGCAACTTTGCTGCAAAGTTAACATCTACAACATGACTGCTAAAAACGCTACTTAAGCTGACTGCTTGTCATGGGTTGGTCTAATACCAGAGGCATTAGTTCAGTGATAGCAGAGTGAAAACAGATAGCACTTCACAGTGACCCAGCATATGCAGTCTTCATTATAATCTGAAATTGTACAAGTGCATGCAACTGGATATTAACATTAAATCACTAGATGCAAATACAGCCAAGTAGGTATGATTTTTAATGTGATTACCCCATTTTTTTGTGATCGAATTAGTTGACAATTGTTTACTCAATGAAGATTTGCAAAACAAATTGTGGATAAGCAATGGTCAAGTTTAAAATGAGCATTTTTTCTAAATTAGATCGTACCTCGCTCCTGTCCGCAATGAAGAATCGGAGTCGCAGAGAAAAGCCAGGTCTAGGCAAGCAAGACAGTCAAGAAGATCAACTCAGGCAAGTACCAGCAATTTTGTTTTTATTTTTAATTCAAGTTTGGTGAAAAGGCTAGTCCAATCAACTAAATAGGTACGATATATTAGAAATGTACAGAACTCCTTTAGCATTATACATTAAATCTACTGACTTGCTATAGATGAAGATTTCTAAACTGTTCCTTTAAAATCACAGTAATTTCACTGTTTATGATCTTTCTGTTAAATGTTGAGACACTTCCTGCAAAGTCACTTTTATGGAGTAGTGTGATAGTGATTTATGCTTGCAGGCTTTGCTTCAAAACATAATCACTTTTTTCAAGCAAGTGTGACCATAAGTCTGTGAAAACGAAATATCCTGAAGGTGGTGCTGTTAAACAAATTATTGTTTTAAAATTGCTTGAAAATTAAGTTTACCTACTTAGTACATTGAATTGACCCATTCAGACCTTCTAAAAATCTTAGTTACATTTTTTCAGTAACTTGTCTGCCGAAAGCAAGCAAGCAAGCCGATTTTTGTTTGTCTCTAGTGATTTCGGTGAGGGGGCGTGCACATTGATATTTTGTTAAATCTTGTCCTGCAGTAACTCAGATCTAATTTATTTTCCAGTGTTGTGTAGAATTTGTAGTGGGAATGTTGCCTTAACGTGCAGCTCTGCTTTATTAATACTAATCTTGTGCGCTTCTTTTGCATTGTACCAAATAATTAATATTACAGTAAGAATAATGATTGTTGTATAAAACTAGCACTAAAGAACTGTAACATTAATAACTAATTCACTGTACTTGTTGTACTGATTTTTCATTCTGGTTTCTTAGCGTTCTCAAAACCGTACAACACAGCAATGTTGTGTTGCCAACTGTGGTTTGAAAGATTCACGGATTTGCTGAAGCTTCTTTTATTTCATTATAGGGTGTAACCTTAACCGATCTTCAGGAAGCAGAAAAGACTATAGGCCGGAGCCGTCCCACTCGAGGTAGGGAAGAGGAAAAAGATGAAAAGGAAAAACAGGACAAAGAGAAACAGGAGGAGAAGAAAGAATCTCAAGCCCGTGAGGATGACTACCGGTCGAAATACCGGAGTTTTGAAGAGGTTAGTCTTTTACATCTGTCAAACATTTAAATAAGAATGGAAATAGGGTAAGTGCAAAGGAAATGTAAAAACGAATGGAAAAATGTTCGGGTGAAAAGGGTGAATCTTAAGAAGTAAAAGACCTCAATGAACCAAGTAATCATGGTGTGTTATATGTAATGATGATGTAACTGGAGTTGTAGAAACGCCAGTACAGGGTAATAGAAAATGATGGATATACAGCATTTTGGAGTGACAGGAAAAATTAAAGAAGGTGTAGCAGTTGTGGCATATTTATACCTGGGGCCGGGTACCATCAGAGCTTATTTTATAGGCTGGTCTATTTAAATACAGACACGCTTAACTTCTGCCCTTCTTACCAGCTTCATAATCAAGTCCATTTCTGAGACCTAAGTCTTTTTCCAAAACTCTAGAAGTAATACTTATAGAAGAATGTTTTTTTTTTTTAGGAAGGTCCTTGAATTGCTTTCATGCTCCTTTGTCTGGTTCTATTCATAACTGAGGCTGTGCTAACTTCCTAGCTGTGTGGGGAATGTGGTTCAGACAATCTCCATCTTGTCTTTATCTCCCTCTTACACACTATTTATAAAAGCTCCCTTCAGTCATAGGAACGTAACTTGGGTAAATCAAACGTCTCAAAATATATGGGTAAGTTATAAAAACATTAAAAATCCATTGTGTTTAGGAGTATGGTACATATGTCAAATTCAAATAATTCTAAACGAGTCTAATATAAAATTGGGAATGTGTAAAGAAGTGGTTGTCATGGAAGACCTTAATTTCTTATGTAGATGGGTAAAACCAAACGGGATATTCAGGGGGCATCTGAAAGTGAAATAGACTTGACTCACGACTTTTACTTGGTTTTATTGCCAAGTAAAAGTCAAAATGCCAGTATTTACTGTATCTATCCTTTTCAAACAAGACAGATTAAAGATCAGTGGGGAGAACCATTTAATAATTAATGTGGATGCTTTGAAGAGTACTTTGAAACTATTCAAATAAGGTTTATGACAGGTGTGTAATGTCAGGAAAGTGGGCCCTGAAGAAACTACAATGTAAGTAATGTGGATTGCAACAGTTTACAAATGTACTCTTTGAAGCACAGAACAGATTCGACCCATTAGTAAATCATAGTCCAAGACTTGACCCAGATGGTTTAATAGGTCATAAAAAAACAAAATGAAAAAGAAACCACTTTACAAGAATCATAGCTGCAGAATTTGTAAAACGCATTGCTCTTCTGGAATCTGTACATAGAAGAGTGACCTTATACATTTTTGGGCTTACAAGTAATACAGTAGAGGAAAAACTGAATGTTCTTTGTCTTAAGCAAAAACAACTACAAGGAAGCCTGATTTAAAATATTCAAAATTAATGAAAAATGTGTATATAAACTCAATCACGTGGAGTTTTTCCAACAGTGAAACTGAGGATGCAAGTGGGAACTATGCAGAAGCAGTTTAAAACCATGAAATTTTACACAAATGGCTATGGCAGCCTTAAGCTATTATGGCTTCTTGAGAAAACTTGGTCAGACTTCTTTGAATAAGCAATGGCAAGTAATTGAAACAAATTGTGCTTATGACATAGTATATTTAGATTTTCAGAGGGTTTTTGATTAACGTTAAGAATAAATTCTTATCAAATTGCAGACAGTAGGCATTCAAGGTAATGTATACATTACGGTTAAACTGGTTAATATGTTTATAATGTAGTCTAGATCAAAGCAAGCTCGAACAGGGAATCAAATCCATCAAATTAAGGTTCAATACTAAGTACTTGTGGTACACCATTACCTCGTCTTTATATTTAGGATATACATTTTGTAGTTAACATTACATTTGTACTGCTGTTCAATTCTGGGCAGACAATTTTGCAAATATTAAATGTCTTTATCTAGAGGCTACAATAGACTAAAAACTATTGTAAATTTATAAGTTAGCAAAACATTTTGAAAAGGCTACTCAATTCTTAGGTGTTTTGTGCATTTTAAACAGTTTTTGTTGATACTTTACCAAAACAACGACATTGTTTTGTATCAATACCAAGAGTGATTAGAGACCTTGCCAAGCTCAAAACAATGTTTATATGCTCCTCTGTTAAAATAACTGAACCATTATAGTCTTGAAAAGAAAGGGTCCTAGGGAGGCTGGATTCAAAGATTTAAAATCTTCAGAGGATGCGACTGATATCTCAGTGTGCTTCAGATTAAGATTCACAGATTCAAAAGTGGAACCTGAACCAGAAGATAGATTATAAGGATATGCATATAAACCTCATAAAAGGTTATGCACTTGTTTGCAAAAAAGGTTGTGGGAGTCTTAAACAGTGATTTGATGTGGTCCATGACTCAATTATCTACTAACAACCAAACAAGTTGGGTTGGCCTAATAGCTTACTTATTTTTAACCTTTTAACCTCGGCAAAGAAGATAACAACACAATTCAGTTTCATACAGGGGCTTGTTTTACAACTTTTGGTCCTTCTACTGTTGCTTCTACTGTTGCACAACTGCTGCAGAAAGTTAGGGATCCAGCTCCAAGAAGTAGTTACTTGGTATACATGGGTTTGTCATTTTTTAATGCAGTGGATCAGTGTCCCAAGTAGTCAACTTTTCCTATACAAATTTTAACTGACAAAGTTTCTGAAAATTATTGTTTTGGTTTTGTTGCATATGCATAATTAAGCCCAAATTGAGTTTTGTGGTCTTGAATGTTTTACTATTTTTCCTTTTTATTCTTAACAGCGTTACCGGCCATCAAGTACTACAACAGCTACGTCCTCTACCAGTAGTGTGCTCTCTACGTCTAGTTCAGTTGATAGACCCAACAGTCTGACTGGCATTACTTCGTTATATCCCAGCTACAGTAGAAGTTTGCACAGGGATACAGAAAAAGGTAAAACAGCCTGTGGCTCACCCTGTTGTTGCTAGATACTTCTATAATTTAATCTGGTTGGTCCAGATATTCAATTCGAATGAATTATAGAAGTCTTCATTAGAGAAGACCTTAAAAAGCAGGTAACACTTTATTCATGCAAGCATTTCTACAGATCACTTACACCTACAGTTACTCTTATATCTTTTGTGTTAGAAACTGTTAATGGCAACACATTTATTAAATTACTATAGATGCAGAACCACACACATCTTATGTTGTGAAAGCATTGACCTTTAACAGCTAGCTATTTTGTATAGCATTGTATAGGTTTAGAGATTTTAACATCTCTTTTCAGTTTGTTCCATCTACTTTATATTGTATTTCAGTCATTTTAAACACGTTCATCAAATTTGGATGGTCCTAAACTACCGATTTAAGGACAATGTGATGTTCTGCAAATGCTTCATTCTTTGTCAAAAAGGCTCCTTTAAAATGTATTTAACTTTAAGTATTGTAGAATGAGATAAGATATAAGTGTTGGTCATGTCATTATTTTTCAATAAAATGCACCGTATACAAAAAAGTGTATTTTTAACACATTTAAATGTTATTTTGATCAGAATTTGATAAGAAGGAGGAGGAAAAAGAAGGAGAAGACAAGACCGAGGACAAGTCTCAACCTAAATCAATACGAGACAGACGGCGGCCTCGAGAGAAACGAAGGTCCACAGGAGTGTCTTATTGGAAAGATGTAAGAGTGGCATGTATTTTAAACATGATTTTATTCTCTATTTCTTGTTTAAAACATGTTAGAAAGTAGATTTCAAGCGGAGCCTTTATAGTTAAGGTAGTGTTCAGCCTGGTTGGACCTGGTGGTTGAAACTACAAATCACTTTGTTGTGTTACGTACTGAGTTGCAGTAATAGCGCTCCATGCAACATCATTTTATAACATTCCTAAATCATAGGTGTTGAACTTGGGAGTTTATGATATTTAATTCTGGAAGGTGACTGAGAAGTATGGATCTCAGATTTAGCGTCTCATCCAAAGGAGACGATGTCCAACTACATAGTATCCCTGCCAACCATACTGAGGCAATAGTTTGGAAATTCTAAAAAAATTAGGAAATTTGGAAAATGTACCACTTACTGCTATATCAGCACTTTGCAGTAGAAGCCTGGTTTCTTTAGAGGTCTATGTCTCAAGGTTGACCCAGCTCAGCTTTGCTTAGCTTCTGAGATCAAGCTACAGGGTGGTGAAGCTTGTTACCATCTTTATAATGGTAAAAAGTTTATGCGTTTGATTAAACACGGGCCTTTTAATGCTTTCCCCAAAGGAGATGTACTTTTTTAAGCAGTCATGTCTCGGAGATTTCTGTAATGGTTTTCCTTTTTCAGAGTGATGAAAATGATCAAGAGCAGCAGTCAGATTCTGAAGAAGGAACAAACCGGAATGAGCCCCAGGTGATGTGCAACCATGTAATGACTGAAACATTTGTTGGAATTAGCATATGAAATCATGGAAAAGTCTTGTGGATTATAACTAATGTCTCTAAAGCTGATGGAGAAGGGATTGTAAACCATTTTGTTTTTCTTTTCTGTTTTTGTTTTAATATTAAGCTTGGTTCATTTGCAGTCTTCTCCAAATCAGCTGTGTGTAGCCTTTTAAAGTAGCTGAATATAGGTTTTAGTATTTCTTAACTGTTTCCTACTTTGGAATCCTTTTTTGGTACATTTAAAGCCTGGCATTGTTGGCTTAGCCCTTAAGTTATACAAGCTTTTCTTTTCCTCAAGGCAAAGAAATGCATTTAAAATGTTGATCAACTTTACCCGACCTTACTAGTTACTACCCACCAGCATGAATTTTCAAGAGAATACTTTGTTTTTAGAGGAAATTACACTGATTTCGTCCACCTGGCATTTATTATGCTCAAATTTAAGGCAAAGTAGAGAAAGCAAACAAATGCTTTTGTATACAGAGCACTGGGGGTGCTTTATTTTCTAGTAAGTACTAAGTGCAAGTGAAGCCAGAAACTACTGTTGGATGTCCTGGGAGCTATGAAATATAGCAATATAGATGTGGAAAAACTGTCTCATACATGCTGTTTAATAATTCATTCATGTATGCATTAGAAGTAGACACGCAAAATGTACGATTTGCTTACATTTGCACCATCTTAAGTCGTCGCCTGCTCACTCAAGCAGTGATCTTAATTGCAGGGCCTAGCTTTGAGGCATTGTGTCCTATAAAAGGCTGTTGATGGTCAAAGTCACTAAGAACCTTGGCAGGGATTCAGGAATGCGGTATAAAAATAGCTGAGTAGGACAAAGAGTGAAACAAAATTAGTCTTCAGAATCAAAAGTGAAGTTGATAAAAGGATGGAGTCCGCCAGGGATGGTGATTGCTGTTTTTGTAAATTAGCAACTTGAACTTTTATAGGTGTTTTTTCGACTTTAATTAATACTGATCTGCCCATTGGTGATAAACAGCTGGGAGAAGCCTTTCATTTTAAACTGTTTTGTTAATGACAATAAATGGAAAATGTATATAGATCCAGCTTACAAGAGATGTAAAACCTTTTTTTTCTTTTACAGAGTGACAGGCTTTCAAGGTACGTTTTTTAGTATTTCTGTTTTTCTGTCCGCATTGCGTAAGTTGATTCAATTCAACAATTAAAATTAAAATAGTAAAGTTGTTTAACTTGATACTGTTGGCTCACTTTAAGTGGCATAAGATATTAACTAAATATTTCAACTTTTTGTTTTGTCTTTGGATTATCCAGCACTTCCAGTGATCGCTATGACCATTATATTGGTCGCAGCTACGGTGAAGGCAGAAAACCATATTCAGGCAGATGGGAAAGAGAAGATACAACTGATTATAAAAAGGTATTTAAAGCATGTTGTTACAAATGGTTCAATTGCTTATTCAAAATGGTTTTATTTATCGTTTGTTCCTTAATAAGGTTTACACTTACACTTTTTTCTTTTTAAACCAGCTTTATGAACAGATTCTAGCTGAAAATGAGAAACTGAAGGCGCAATTACGCGATACAGACATGGAGTTAACAGACTTGAAATTACAGCTGGAAAAAGCAACGCAGGTTTGTATCTTGGTCTGGGCTTTCAAAGTTGAAGTGAGAACTTGGACTCATCACAAGATGTGTTGTAATTAGGTATTGAACACTTGTGAAAATCTTGCAGATGAGATTGATTATAATTTGTTGATCTGTTCTAGTCATCTTTATTGACATTTATTTTCTTGATATACTTAATCAGGAACAAGCATCTACACTTCATATTTTCAATGGTGCATTAGGTTGATTGTTGCTGATTAATGTGGAGAAGCCACATTCATGTTGCTTGATGTTATACAGTTTTATACTGAGCAACGCTAGGAATACTCAGGTTTATTATCGGTATTCAAAATATATCAGGAAAGTCTGTCTTCGGTGGGGGGGGGAAAACGCAGCAAAGCATATTTTACACATTTACAGACCTGCATAATGAGTGTTAAATAGTTTTGTTTTTTGATCTGGCTTATTTGGTTCTGCTGCCACTAAACATTGGTTTGTATCTTTCAGAGACAGGAACGATTTGCTGACAGGTCACAGCTGGAAATGGAGAAAAGGGTAAAGATTTTATAGGTTCTTCTCACTTTTAATTCCAAGTTCTAACAAGTTATTCCTCGAGCACAGGGTGTTGTCAAGTCAGAAGTATTATTATTACTGCTGCGTTTTAACAGTCTTATTGTATCATTTCTCCAATTTGATAAACCTAACAGGTAAAGCAGACAATGAAGCTAACACTGATTGCTATATAAAAATGCATACATCATGTTGGTCTACCTTCCCCTTTTGGGGGGGAAAAAAACTCCCAATAAGGGTCACATTTAAACCTACTTCACTAACTTATTTTAGCATCCTAAAATGTTTTTGCCTAAAGGAGGAAATAAAACGGATGGTAACTTAGCACAGAAATGGCTCAGCTGGGGAAAAAGTGAAAAGTCTGAAGTTCATTCCAAAATGTTGTAGCTTGTTAGGTGTTTTTTTTTCCAAATCACTTTACGATTCATTTCACTTTTAAATGTGCAGTGTCCAGTGGTTGAGGATACAGTGCCTTTTAAAATTATTTACTCCCTACCAATGTTACATTTTGTTGGATTATAAATAAATTTAATCAGTTCAAGGATCAAACTGAAAATTGAGTCTCGCCAAAAACTTTGATGATACTTTGTACCATCCATTTTTCTAATCGTAGTAAGCTTCCAGTCCCCGTACTGTTATGCTCCCACTACTATGCTTGACGTCTGGCATGGCGCTGAATGGGTGATATGCAGTGTTGATTTTGTGCTTCATGTCTTTGCATTTAGACCACAATCTTAAACTTTTGTTTCATCTGACCCTAAATCCTCAAATCTTCCAGTATATCCAGTATTTGCCACTTACCCATATGGGTCAGGTTTGCAAAGCTCCAGGATGTTGTTGACCTCTCTGAGTGGCTAACTGGTTTGCTGTGTCAGATGGTGGCTTAATCTAGGTAGTGTCTGGATGTTATGATACACTCCAATCTTAAAAATGGATATTACTAAGTAACCTTTTCTTGATCTCTGCCATTTTGTCTCCAATTGAAATAACAGAGAAAACATTTACCTTGAAGTCAAGTTAAACTAGTTAGATTACACACAGAAATCATTACACTAACTGATTTAAGGTTGTTTTTAGGAAAGGGTTTACATTTGCATTTGAAGATCTTCTAAATTTCTTTCAAAAATTACTTTGTGCTATTGGCATTTTGTAGCTTAATCAATTTGGAGTACATCGTGTATATTCTAACTATGATGTCCTATTTGAAAGTGTCATAATTGCATAGATGCTTTGCTGGGGTTTGAATTATTTTGCAAGGCACTGCTTAAGATTAAAACTTTAGCTGTTTTGAGTGTTATTGTTCAGTAAAATTGGAGAACTCATAATAGTTTTCAACATAATTATATAACTACACTTTGTTAGATCCTTGTTTTTAACAAATGCAAAATTATTTATATCTAAAGGTAACAAGCAAGACCCATTCTCAGCTGGGTGGTATGGTCTAACCTGAATTTATACAGTACAATGCTCCTGCTTGCTTTTGATTCACTAGCAACTTTAGCTAGTGAGGCAAATGCCCACAAGCGAACACAAGCTGTTTCTTTTTCACGTTTGTTTTATGAACTAGACAAAGATTTCTGGGCAGTTGCAAAGTATTTGTGTTTATCTTTTGTCAGAGTGTTTTTTAAAATGTATGTATGTTCGACATCTTCCTTGAGCAGGATTGCATGCGTTTTCTAGCTTCTAAATACAGTCCATCCTTCCTGCAGGCTTCCTTCTTGCACCTTTTTCTAATTATAAAACTACTGATAACATGATTTATCTTTTCACAAAATGCTACCCAAATATGAACTGGTGTCAGATAATAAAATCTTACTTTTATGGGATGGACTGTAGTGCCAACATTAACACTAAACATGAGCATGACTAACCTACTCTTTCACATCACAACATCAGGTGCTTAAACATGCACTCCACTTTTTCTTTTCCTTGAGTATTTCCATAACTAGTTGCTAGTTATTTTAAATGTTGCAAAATTTTGTCATCTAAAAGGTTATAACCTTAACATTTATCTAACAGTGAAGTTGAAATCTGAAAGTTGTATATTCAGATTTTATTCAATATAATAGAAAGCAAAACATCATAATGTGCCACCTTTTTAGCCTTTTGTGTCTCATGCCATTGTAATAGAATTTAACATTTCTTCATTTGATTGGTTCCTTCTAATTGAATGTCCACCATGACATTCCCTTAATCAATTCAGTCTTACCATGTTTTATGGTTATTTTAAATGGTTTCAGAACTGCTTTAAATAGAATCCTAACTTTTTTTCTGGTAATGGCAGTCTGTCATGAGTATTTCATAAAGTTAACCTTGAAATGAGTTAACATAAGTTGAAACATTGGGAAATATTTTCTCCTTTTCTGTTTTCCCTTTTTCTAATTAGCATTTCTTCACCAACTTACCCCATAACCTGCATAATGAAAATATGTTTCCCACATTTTGATGACCTAGGTACATTCTTGCTTGACATGCTTCACATACATGCTTGTTTGTTGCTGTTTTATGATGCTAATATTTCACTCTTACACTGTTAGTTGTGTGGAATGACATGTTTGTTTAAATGTGGTATCTATACTAACTTACAGTATACTACTTTTTATAGGAAAGAAGAGCTCTAGAAAGGAGGATATCTGAGATGGAGGAAGAACTTAAGGTATTGATTCCAGATTATTTTTAACTTGGAATGTCTTTGGTATATTGATTTAATTCAAGGCTATGCGAACAATCAAAGAGCTTTTTATTGTCCATTTCTTTCATATGATTTTTCCTTTGATACGGGAAAGTGCAGAAAACATAACAGAATGTGCAATGAAAAAATAATCATCTTTAATTTTAGAGTGTATAGGTTATTGTGTAAAACAATTAAAACTTAAGATTGGAAAGTTTCATTCCATAACTTAAAGGCTTTATAGCATGGTATAGGTGAGATTGGTCTATCTTTTTAAAATCTACTTGAACCTAGAGTGTTTCTCAGTTTGTTGTGTTAAAAATGTGCTGCAGTTATTTGTGTTCTCCAAGATTTCTGTTACATAAGTAGATTTATGTGTAATAAACTTACACAAAGACAATCATTCTCTTTGAAGTAAATAAAACTGTAATATTATAATAAGCGACAGTTAGTTAGCTAAAAGATTTGAGATGAAATTGTAAAATTCTAATTTGGAAGTGATGTTACTCAAATCAACTAGGAAGGTCTGCAATCTTTAAGTCAGAAGTTCATCATAAATAGGTAAGATCTTAATAGAATGAAAACAGGTATTTTATATCCTATAAGTTTAATTTTAATTAAATTGTACTTTAAGCACATTATAGAAAGGTGATGAGTAAAATATAGTCCAGTTATTTTCAAATTGCTTTTGAAGAAGCAAATGACCAACAGGCCACTCCAATATAACTATAATTGGCTTTGTTTTTAGTAACCTTTTCTGCTTTTTGTACAATATACTGACTCACTAAGAAATTATCTGTATTTTATTTAGTTTTCAAAAAACAGACTAAACAGTATAGATGTAATTAACATTTAGGTGCATATGAACTGTCCATTAGAATTTTCACATGGACATTTCATGGTCGATTGGTTAAAAGTCAGTTTATATGTCATTGTTTTTGACTTACCTTTATGTGGATATTTCAGTTTAGATGATTCACAGATTTATGGCAAGGAAAAGGTTGAAATCATTGGCTTAAACAGGCCTCTACAAAGATTCAAGAGACCACTGAACGAGATCTTGGGTTAGAATAGCAGTAAAGATCTCATTCTCATTGGTACTCATGTGATGGCGATCATGTTGAAAGACTCTAATTTCAGAGGGTTTATTAATCAAAACATTTTTTACTGCTAACTTTGACAGCATTAACATAATGTCATAAATGACTTATCTGAATTTTACACTGCTCTGTATTGAAATAACTTCATACATTATTTGAGTTTTTTGGAGGCCAATCAAAGATAAGGAAATTGGGAGATATACCTGTCTAGTGAGATGAATGTGAAGAAAAAAAAATTTAATATTTACAGATATATTTTGGATTATTCACTATAGTAATTTAAAGGACTGTGGATGTTTACTAAAATGTTTAATAATACTGTTTTAAGACAAAGTTAAAATTCGGAATTATTAAGGTATGAAAACCCATTCGGGATCGGTCAGCAAATTAAGTACTTGTGTTTTTGCTTAATTGGGATAAACTGAACTTGAAAGTTAATGTAGCTACTTAAGTTATCTTTCATCCATATTTGTTTGGCACTTTGTTTATTGCCACACAGTCGAGAAACATTTGTTTGCCATCTAATCAATTCCATTTATGTCCATTTTTCTAATAATTGTATTCATTTTTCCATTCTTGATTCGTGGTTCATGTTCTTTTTTTCCAATTATTTTTCTTCTCCTTTGTGTTCTGATTTCCTGCAGAACCTACATCAAGTAAAGCAGATTCAGGCTCTGAGGCAGTTAAATGAGAGGTTGATCGCAGAGAATAGGGCCCTGACCAGAGTGGTGGCAAAGCTTTCAGAGTCTTGTAGCCAGCTACAGGCTGTGGACTTGTAGAACCCTTCCCATTCTTCATTACCACAGCCTACCCATAGCCAGGCAGGTGCCAACCTTCAGTCAGTTTCCTGGTGTAGAATTTTCTTCCTTTTTGTGTGCATCTGGAAACATGTTTTGTTTTCAGCCAAGTGCTTGGCCTGGTTTCTTGCATGATATTTTGCTTTTTGCGGCAAGACCCAGCTTCAGTTTTTTGCCCCCTTTGTGTTTTTTCTTCCAATGCTATAATTTAGTTCTGTCAATTCACCCCAGATTAATTCAGTTACCTGAAGAGGTATTACTTTCCAGAGGACAAAGGAGGCATTTTGAGTTTCATAAATTAAACACTTTAATTAAAGCCAGTCTTACAATAGTCTTGTCAGTAAATTAGTCTTTAATGTGATATAAAAGACACTTATACCTTTTTGCTTATTCAAATAATTAAACACTTCAATAATAGGGTCATTGAAAGAATGTTCTCATGGGCAGCAATATATTTAGGAATCTACACTGAAACCTTCGTTGTCCAAAGGAATGTGCTCTCCATGATCCCATTTGGTGTACCAGATTTCATTGTTTAAGAGTGTCTAAAATACGACATCTAGCAGTGAATCCAGATTTTTTCAGTTTATTTACAAAACTAACTGTTCAGTGAAGTTCCACCAATAGTGCAATAATAAAGGGGGGAGGTACACAGAGTATTTAAAACACAATTCACAGAAGGGCCTTACACTGTTTAGGAATTCAGTGACCCATGTTAAAACTTGCTTATCAAATCCTTTCTAGTGGAAGTGTTAAATTAATGATGGATTAAAAAAAATCAATTTATGTGAATGTTCCTTAATCATATGCTACTTTAGGTTTGTGTTTATTGTAATTTGAATTAAAGCAATACCGTTAAATGCATTACCTTATTCCACTGAGGTTTGAAAACCTGGATCCTAGAAAGATAATTATAGCAATCAGTGTTCTGAGAAAGGAAGGAAGCCTGTGATGAGGTGTGAACTATCTGCTGTAAATGGCTTGGATTGCTGTATAACCATGTGTGCTATGTTGAAGCCAATATCATGCATGGCTTGAATTATCAAAGATTTTGCTCATTTTCTTTATATCAAGAATATATTTTTGTGAAATGCTAAGTCTCTGGATTTATTATTCTTTAAAGGTTATATCAGTGCTGTCCTATATTGTACTCGGCAAACAATTTTGCATGAAGTTTAATTTGACATTTAATTTGCTTTTTCTTTTGTAATTTGCTCGTCTTAACTGTTGTCAAGTCAAACTGTCCTATTTTGTGACTGTTTTATTAAAAAAATATACCATGATGTCACAGTATTTCATTATATTTACAACTTGTAAATTATATATTTAAAAAAAAATAGTTTTGCTGTTTTTTTCCTATGACAAATCTTATGAGATCTTATTAAAAATCACTCCTTCTTCACTTCACTAATATGGCCCTTATTAATTCAGCGATGATTCTTTTGGTGCCTGCTCAGCGTTTCAGAGTTTAATTTTCATTGTAAATTATAAATATATATATAAATCATTGTAAACATATATCTCACTCTGCCAGATCACCTATATAGATAAGCTGGCTGATTTTTAATCGTAAACATGTTAACTTTGTTCATAGGCTTCTTTCTGAGCTCCAGGATGAAATAATTTTACAGTAGAAGATTAATGAAATTTATGCATAACTGTTTATTAATAGGTTTACTTCAAACTCCCCTTGAAGCATATAGAGTATGCAAAGATATTTATAAAACCTAGGTTGGAGGTTGGAAAAGCAGCATATATTTGAAGAAGAGTTGTCATGCCTTTACTACTGTGCAGTGATGCTTTAAATGAAATATTGGTTAACAGAATGTGAGGGAATCTCTGAACAATTTTAATATGAACACTTCATTATCTTGTGGGATTTTTAAGTTAAAAATCAGATATTTGAAGAGTTTTGTCTCATCAGCATTCCAGCATTTTTTGTTCTTTGGCTAATAGTGTCACATATTAAACTAATATTTACCTCTTCACTGTATATCATTTACAAAAAGTTAAAACGTTAGTGTTATAGATACAGAAACACTTGTGATGGTTTACAGTTTGAAGTATTGGGTAGATGGACACACCAAGCACCCTCACACAATCGTTGAATTGTTCAAACCAAAATCAAATTTTCAAAAGGCATCCAAATTGCATTTGTGGACCCCGGAAAATACCCGTATCACGATATTGATTTTTTTTTTCTGGAGGGATTATTTAGCATCAATTATGGTTTACCTGCAATGAAATACAGAACAAAGACACCTAAAAAACGCTCCGTTTGAGGTTACCCGCCATGGACCAGAATTATGTTGCAGCTGCATGTTGTTGTGGTCTCTAGTTTGTCCTTCTATATATGTAGCTTTTCACTACAAAGAAGGAGCAACAGCAATCTGGCTGTGACTACAGAGATAAACTGACAGTTATGAGTTTTATGACCTGTTTTATTTATATAATCTTTAATGGTTATTGATATTCAATTAAATGTTCTTATGTAATCAAAATTTGTTTACTTTGGGTAAAGATGCAAACATTGTTGTATTATATGAAACGTAGCATTGTGCATTGTTGAATATTTATGTTCTGAACTCCAGTAAGAATCGACATTTGATCTGCATGACTGTTTGTGGGTGTTTTTCAAGGCCGAGTTTTAAAATGCAGCTTGTTTGAGCACCCTCTGAAAACTAGCCAATAAACATGCTTAAAGAGGAGTGCAAATAAAAATCCACATTTTCCAATAAATGAGTTTGAATGTCTAATGTGAAGTACTGTTGTTTTTTTCTTCTCTTTCAGATGCTACCAGACTTGAAAGCAGATAACCAGAGACTAAAGGATGAAAATGGAGCCTTGATTAGAGTCATAAGCAAACTTTCCAAGTAGACAAGTTCCTAGAACAGCAACTAATGGTATTGCACATTAATGTTAATTGCAACAGACATCAGCTACAAGGCCCCTCCCATTTGTGGTCGCCCTTGACTCTTCTGCCACACCACCCTTTTCCATCCATTAGATCCTGCTAGATCACTTAACCTGCAGCTGCTGTCAAGACAGAATGACTGAGTTTACAAAAACATTCTGAATGAAAAACTTGTGGCCAGGGACGCCTCAGAAATATTTAACCAATAAGCCTTAGTTGTACATAAACACTTGCATCGAGCTCTCAGCTGTCACAGAAGAACAGTTAGTCAACACGAGTTATTGTGCCACAGCCTATGTATTTTTTTTTGTTTCTGTTTCTACACCTGCTTAGACGTGTTGTGTGCTGTGCTCTTTTTTTTCCTAACTTCCCATGTGCCAGAGGTATTCCCCTAGATGCTCAGTGTTCACACAGCTGTCCAGTTCGAAGAGACCCAACCATTATAACGGAAATAATTCCAGTTTTTTTAATTAACATGACATTTTCACCATACTGAACAGATGGACTTGGTGAAACGTAAGCTTTCACTGTATGTGCAATATGCATTTATGTCTTTTAAAATGCTTTAATGAGTCCATTGAAAGTAGAATTCCCATCTCTTCTGCCTTCATCACTTTTTTTTCTTTTTGTTTGTAGTGTAGCTGTTGGATTATACTGTGTATTCTTTACTTCATTTTAGCCGGTACTGAGTGATGCTGTATATATGTATTGTTTTGAGTTTCAGACCACCACATGGCATGCGTTATGCTTCCCAATGACAAACCCGTCTGTTACTATTAAAATATACAACTCCAGAAGTGTGTTTTAACTTTTTCATTTATTTTATAGTATAAACATTGAATATGGTAGTGCCTCTCTCTTTAAGGAGATGGCAAGCAGAATTCAGTGCTGTTTTTTTAAAGTGTTCACAGTAATGTGAGATACAAATGATATAATTGCTTCACTACATTTCACACATTGTATACAGTATCTTTGGAAGAGTGCTGTTTTTTTCCCTTTTTTAACTGTAGTACTAGCCAAGGTATTGTCACTAAATCTTAGGTATTTCTAATGCAGTTCTTTTACAATGTCTGTATGCACTGTTAATGCCATGTGAAGAGTCATGTAAAGTTTTGGATGACCATTGTCAAATAAAGACCAGAAAATTGGAACATATATTTTATGCATTTCAGTGGCCTTTTAAATTTACTATAGTGAATGTTGCTATGGTTGACTGTCAGGATTTTTTAATTGTTATTACTAATTATTATTATTTCCCATCACCCTGTAAAATAAGTGTGACTTCATACTGGCACACACTGTGCTGTGACTTAAAACCACTGAAGAGTTCAACCATTAAAATGTACATTGTAAAAGCTTGCGGTAGCTGTTGTATTATCATTATATTGTATACTTAAATGTGAATTTATAACCCCTTCATAAAAAAAAAACAAAAAAAACATGGTCATGGTGTTCTATTGAATATATTTTAATTTGCAAAACCTGGGCAGTTGTTCCTCTGTCTCTTTTTTTTTTTTTTGGTGATTGGTTTTGTGTAGGTGTGAGGCCATGCTCTTACTACCAAGCTCAGGATTCTTGATTTAAATGACGAAAAACATGGTACAGTGAGTGTGATATTTCTATTGTGGATTGACCTTGGTATGACTGGTTTACTATGAGAGGGAATTATTCACTGAACTATTGAAAGTAATGCTATGGCATTGATGTTTGAATGGTAGTGAACAATGGGTTAAGCGGTTAATCTGTGAGACTGTTAATCAAAACCCTTTGCAAATTTGTCAGTTTGGGGTGCATGTGCGGATTTAACATAGCTACTTGTTTCTAATATTATAGTGTTTTATATTTAGGTTATTTATTCTTTAAAAAAAGTGAAGTGGCTACAGCGCTATAATGATTTTATTGGTAGTACCGAGCAGACCTTGTATCGGCATGAAACTAGTTGCTGAAACCCAATTATTTTGAAAAAATGTATTTTGACATATACAAATAAAGATTAATAAAGTTATGCTTGTCTTTTGCTGTTTTGAAAAAGGTAAGTGACCTGGCTACATAAACTGACATGATTTTGAAATGTGGTGTTTGTGTTTAAATACCAGGTTGCTCTTAGGTTTTCAAGGTAAATCTCTGATGTATGGTTATTCTCTTGTATGTTATTTTTTATTTTTATGTCACCTGCATGTAATCATTGCTTATTTAGAAAGACTGTCCTGTTGAGTGAGATTCACATTTTTACTCTTTAAAATTCATAATGACTTCCTGTCTGACTGGTTCAGAAGATACTTCCTTACCAAAGGCAGACCAGTAACAGGATTCATATCACGTTTTGCTATGTATAGAAAGCCTGTCTAGCTATAACGAATGATGGAGGTAAGTTGTGACAACCTTTGTTTGGTATTTAATCTTAAAATGTTGATAGGTTATGTCTGCCGTAAACAGTACACAGCAGTGCAACAAAATGATGTAGAATGCACAGGAAAGTGTTAGCTATCCTTCACTCCCACTGAAAGCATTATGATTTTGAGCTTAAGCTGGTTCTAGAACATATTTTGTTTGTAGTATATGCAATCAGAATGTTTATTTTAACTTACAATGATTAGTAAGATTTTAACAAACTTTAGTCTTCTGTCCCAGAGTCCTTAATATCAAGCTGTGTGCATTCCACAAGGTAACTTAGAAATATGCAATGGATTTTTATTTGCATTGCATACGATGCATTGTTACAGCTGATAACAGCAAATCTTCTCTAGATCCAGTGCTTTTTTCTATGTCCCAGTGTTTTTTAAATGCCTCCTCTTAATGCCAGGATCCATATCAACCTGTAATTCGCAACTGGCAAACCACTGAAGCTAAGCAGGTCTGAGCCTGACCAGTACCTGCATGGGAGACCTCCTGGAAAAACTAAGATTGCTGCTGGAAGAGGTGTTAGTGGGTCCAGTAGGGGGCGCTCACCCTGCGGTCTGTGTGGGTCCTAATGCCACAGTATAGTGACGGGGACAGTCACTATAAAAAGGCACCGTTCTTCGGATGTGATGTAAAACCAAGGCCTTGACTCTCTGTGGCAATTAAAAATCACAGGGTGTTTCTCAAAAAGAGTAGGGGTTTTCCCATTGGCCTTTACCAATCATGGCCTAATTTCCATCTTTGAATTGGCTTCATCACTCTGTTATCCTGCCCACTGATAGCTGGTGTGTGCTGAGTGTTCTGGTGCATCATCCAGGTGGGTGCTGCACATTGGTGGTGGTGGAGGGGATCCCCATTCCCTGTAAAGCACTTTGAGTGGAGAGTCCAGAAAAACACTATATAAATGTAAGGAATTACTATTGATTACAAGCTGCAGATAAGAGGGATACAGGATGATCACTTGATTGAATTTCCTAATTCAGGCATAAGCTGTTTGCATTGTTTGTTTGCTTCCTGAAACAAAGATGTGCTCAAGGTAGGCGAACTATTTTGTTCGCCACTAGTACTTTCTAAGGTTTAATCAATAGTAAATAGTAAAGTGATTCATTTTTTGTGATTTTTTTGTAAATAACTGCTCTTTGTCACTCTGAAAGCAAATTGTTTGCATGTACTGTCACCTCACCTGAAATGTGTAAATGCTACAGTACATATACAGTATAATGCAATCCTGAAGTAGCCAAGCTCCACCAGATGGCGCTAATGTGCATTGATTAGTTTTATTGTGGTTTGGTATTTGTTATTCATTGTTATGATATAACAAGGCCAAACTGTTCTTGTTACATTGAAGAGGCCTGGAGATCTTGAAAAGGCAGTTGTACTAACCTTATTATTTCCACACTTTGTTGACTAATTTTTCTGTACATTTTTAGGACCATTTGTAATTGTGGGAAGTAAAATCCTCAGTGTTTAGTTTCTTGTAAGAAGTGTGTGACTAAAGTGGTTTTTAAAAAACCAATTACACAAGGGAGTGATGCTAGTGCTTGTACTGGCGTGTGTTGGTTGCAAAAGAACAAGTAGATTGATTCCGCACTGTCGTACCTGAAGAATGCTGAACAGCTGAAAGATTTTCTACATTTGTGTGAAAATAACCTTTACTTAGATTTTACTGTTGTTTTCTATTTACCGACTATCCCCTTTTGTGATTTTTGACTGCATTTGGTCTGTTCAGTGTGTAAGAAATCAAGCCATGTGTTGGAATTGAAATATAAAGCAAAACCTGATTAAAATGCAAAAGTGTTTTTATTGGAGGCAAGGCCAAAACGTGTGGTAGTCCATACTAACATTAGTCCCTTTAATCCTTTCCAGAGGCAGACTGAATGCACAAACTACTTGGGCTTTTTCTGTAACAGCGATAATACTATATTACAAGATTGGGGTACCTGAAGCGTTTTTAAATCTTAAATCTTTAAAGTTGTACCCCTCCTACAAGCACTTTCTGGGGGAACCTTGGAGGTCCAAAAGCAGAAATACATTAAGTGGGGTGCCATGCATTGTCCTTAGCTCTGTGCGATGCCAACTTTAAATCAACGTGACAAATGGGGCTGAGTTCTTAAATGTGGATCAAAGCAGTGAGGATCTTAAGATTTCAAATCTTTTTTTTTTCTCTGTACTGTTAATGTGAATACTTCTGAATTATCAAGCATGAAATTGGCACTTCAGAGTCTACAAAATAGTTTAAGGATCACTGACTTTAATTACTTGCAAGATATTTCAAAACTAGACACCTGTGGTGCTGCTTCCAGTTAACTTTGATTTTCCGCGCAGAGAGACAGAGATGCATTTTGTGCACAGAATTGTCAGTAGAAGGTTAGTGCATGCTTTAGCTTAGTTTTGAAATTTTCAGATGGAAGACTAGTATATGTCCATTTGGTATTCTTAATACCTTTAGCAGATAAAGCTTTCATAGACTAAAGTTTTAGACAAATATGCTAAAGTTGCTAAAGGCAGGATTTTGTTGGTGATTGTGTGGCACGTTCGTGCAGTATAATGACTTCAAATTTCACACCCTAAGCTATCCGATAAAGCCAGATTATTGGGCAGTATTGTGCCAACCTGTGAAAGGGAAAAGTGGAAACCTAAAACATTTTAGCGAAGGAGGTGTGAAATACTGAAGTCTTGGAGAAAAACAAGTACTACAATTTTGGGAGGGGAAAAACTTATCTGTTATTCTGCTGGAAGGCAAGTTATGACCAGAAAGCCTTGCTTTAAAACAAAGTTTGTTCCTAAAACTGCCTCAGTAAATATATTTGGCAGGGTGAACTCTTGGTTGCAATTGCATTGCATGAATACACCAAGCTTAAATGCTTTGGGGATAAGTGTTGGTATGTGCTGTAATTGCCTGAAGTCAGGCAAGAAGCCTTATATTTTTTTTCATTTTTTTTTTTATCCTCAGCAGAAGTCAGTGCCTGACTCTCTTATATGAAAATTCCTGATGTTTTGGGCAGTTAACAGCTTTAGTGTTCAAATGTATTTTTGGTGAGTACAGCCCATTCCAGTGGCTAAACACTGGCTGGTTTATTGCAATGTAAATGTAGAGAAGACAGGTTTTGCTTAACCATAAAGTCGATGATAAATCCTAAATGTCTGTTGTGGAATTTTGTTTAGGTTGTCAGTCACAAGTGTTTTATTTTGCAGCTAAATCATATATATATATATAATAGGTGGTACAAACTGGTTATACAGCTTCTTGTCATTTTCCATTCTCTTTGCAAGGTGTCTATACTGTGTTCTCAAGCTGAATAGGGGGTGCATGGTGCATCTGTTCTTGTGTTCAGGGGTGATACCGTAGTGACTGCAGATACCTGCATTTGCTGTCAAATCTTTTGTTTTAGCAGTGGGATTTGAAATTGAAAAGCTTCTCTCCTGCAAACTGTCAAGGCATAAGGGCACTTAGTAAATAAACTCTTAAAATAAGATTTCTTGCTCATATAGTCTTATGTCATATGAGCAAATTCTCTGCAGCATCTTTGATTCCGCTTGGTAGCAGGAGGCATGCTGTTATCTTTAGATCACCTAAATAATAATAATCACTTAATAATAATAAGTCTTCTGAGAACCTTTTTTCACTTGTAAATTCCCACAATTCCTGCCCAAACTGCTGGGTGTACGCAGAAGCACTGCAATGTACAGTGGGTGTACCAGCGCACCCTGATGAATCTATCTGTATAGATTATCAGACTGTCTAAAGCGATTTTCATGAGGGGGACTCAACACTTCTGCAAATGCACTTTTAGTGGAAGATTTCTGTAGGAGTTTGAATTAAGGACGTAGGAGCATATTTTTATTGGTTGTGCATTAAACCAGAGTTGCTGATTCTTGCATAACACTCTTCTGTGTTTTTTTGCTAGACCCTTATCTGTATTTTTTTTGTCTCCCAAAGTATTCCACTACAGAAATGATAGGATTATAACATTAAAAAAATGATTGCAGTGCTTCTAAAATCAGTTCTTTTAGTTTTTTATATATACTTAAAAGGTGTAAGTGTAATGCAGGTACAATTGTGTTTTGTACACAGCGGTTTTAAATAAAAAGCTGCACCTTTTCCGACTTCTAGGATAGTTGCATTTAAGACTTCCCAGATCACTCCACAATTGACTCGAATGCTGTTTAACACCACTGGATCTCCACATCTTGATAAATTGACAGACCAGTTAAAGCAAGATAACTCTTGGCTATGCTTCTCACTAACATAAATGACAGCATCAGAAGCAAAAGTTGTTATATTTCTCTTATGCTTTAATAAACCATTTCTGAAGGGGTTTGAGTTTTGAAGGCTGCCGAGAGAAACTAGATGAGATGCCATCTGTGTTCTGGTTTCGTCACTTGACTCTGTATGACAAAGCACCCTAGCTGTTCCTTTTATATTTGGAGTTTTTCCTCAGATGTTTCACGTTTTGTAATTTTCTTCTCCCTGGGGCTGTATTTTTAATTTCTCTTCCTGTTCTTTGCTGGTTTTACAGATAATTGTTCCAAGAAATCTCGGCTAAACTTAAAACGTCTGACGGGATGAAAAGATCCTTGCGCTGGAGGCAGACCTCTCCAGGC